TCCTCCTCCTCCTCCTCCTCCTCCTCCTTTTTCAACGCGTAGCCCCTTTTTTCTCCAAAGTTATTGTCATCTCACATATCAAATCTAAGATCATTTTTTTTTTCCTATTACAACTATCCGTGGTGGCGGAAAATAAGATGAAAGAGGCAGACAAAATGCGAATTCAGTTGCACAATAGATCTATGTATATTCTGTTACGGTTGTGCACCATCATCATTTCAACACAGTAAAATGTTCTGAATAAAAGTAGAACCTTAGAAGAAAACTGCTTTTTCCAATAGGATGGTTACATATTACATGTATTTCAAGATGAAAAACTGCGTGAAAAAATGTAAAGCTTTTACTTTTATGTGAATAAGATTTGTATTAGACAGACAGACAGACAGACAGACAAACAGACAGACAGACAGACAGACAGACAGACAGAGAGACAGACAGACAGAGAGACAGACAGACAGACAGACAGACAGACAGACAGACAGACAGACATTTTTAAACAGCGTGCGTATGCTGACATACGGTGATTTTCACCTTTTTCATGGCTGCATGTCTGCTCTTGCCTTGTTGTTTGATTTCTCGTTTACAGAGTGATAAAAAAAAAAAATGTTTAATCGACAACAACTGTACGACTTAAAAAAAAATATTTTCCTCCACACTGAAGTTTTGCGTTTCAAATTTGTTCACAACATTTGGAAGTCGAAAGGAATTTGTCTGATATTCATTTTAGAAAAATCCTCAGAACAGGTTTGCTCTATACAGCGCGTAAAAAACAAACAAACAACAACTCGTTTTCAGCTATGTCTCCATTTTAGTAGCGTGACGCACTAGTTCGCATTAGGCCTACCACTAATAATCCCAACGATTGCGCCATATTGCAAACTACAGTAGTCTAACAGGCCAACAGAAGTTTGTAGACAAGACAGTTTTTCTCAAGTTTCCTTTACCTGTTGAGATCATGGTTAAGATTAGGAAAGAGCAGAGAGCTTTTTGTATTGAACATTTCCTCACCACCAACCCATTTTGTAAGTTTTGCACAAGGTACGGAAATACTGATAAAGTGCCCTTATGGTTTTTTTATGTCATGGTTCATCAGTCAGGACTGATTCTAGTACACATTTTGTGCGAAATATTTAGAAAAAAAGTTGTACATTTTTTTTATCACCCTGTACATTCATTTTTCCTTCCAATACTGAAGACAAGCAAAATTCTATAGTTTTGTTAATCATTTTCGACCTTTTTTTCTTCAGAAAGCCACCACAAGGTGGCCCATTCTCCAGTGGCTCTGGATCACGACCAGCCCCGTCTCAAGCCTCTCTGCTGGGACAAGACATCTTCAGCAACCTGCCTGGAATCGGACAAGGTGCTAAGCAGCCAAGTGCTGGCGCCGCCCCTTACTCACCAGTAGACTCCTCCCCCTTTTCCTTCCTTAATCCTCAGATAGAGTCAAGTAAGCCAACAGAAGCACCGTACAATCCCCAGCCTCCTCCTTTCGATCAAAGACCAGGGAATTTCGGTGGCGGTGTAGGAGGCTCTAGAGGGACCCGTGGTCCGTCCCGTCCACCGCAAGATGGAGGTCTGCCGCTCGGCGGATCCTTCCCAGGTTTTAAAGAGAGACCTCCATCTCTTTTTGATAACAGGGCTGGAAATAGCAATCCTCGTAACCAAGGTCCTCCAAACGACGGACGGTCTCCTTTTCCAGGGCTGGGCTCTGGTCAACCAGGTTTGAATTTCCCAACCAAAGGACCAGGTTTTGGACAGAGGAATCCTAACTTTGACCAGGGAAGGCCGCCTAGCGGAGAGCAAAGACCGCAATTCAACCAAGGTGACTTGGGATTGAACCAAGGAGGTAACCCTTTTGACCAAAGACCCCCAAGTTTAGACAATAAACTACCATCGTTCAATCAGGGAGGATCAGATTTTGGCCAAAGAAGACCAGGTTTCGACCAAGGAGCACCCAGTTATGATCAAAGAGGACTTGGTTTTGACGAAAGGGGGCCTGGTCCTGACCAGAGAGGGCCGAGTGGTTTTGACAAAAGGAGGCCTGGTTTTGACCAAAAAGGACCTAGCGATTTTACCCAAAGAGGACCTGGTGATTTTGATCAAAGAGGACCCCAACGAAACCAACGTGGGCCACTTTTAGACGAGAGTGGTAGGGGACCACTGTTACAGGACAGGGGCTCTCTTTTTGACCAAAGAGACCAGCCTTTTGGTGGTCAGAGGAACCCGTCGTTTGATGAAAGGCAGCCACGAGGTGATTCCCGAGGATCCCCGCTAGAGACTGGTCCATCGTTTACCCCAGGACGTCCGTCTTTTGGGGATCAGAACCCGTCTTTTGACCAGAGAGGGAGACCTTCGTTCAACCCAGACGCTTCACCATATGGCCCAAGGGGCGGTTCGGAACCGAGAGCTGGCGAACGAAAAACTTTCGGGGAATTCCCAACTTTTGCTGGGGAGACCAGAGGAGAGAAAGCCCCACCCCAAAGGTAATTACTTTGTTCGCAAAACATAACTATCACAGCTATGATGATGATGATGATGATGATGATGATGATGATGATGATGATGATGATGATGATGATGATGATGATGATGATGATGATGATGATCCTATTTTGTCTAAAATTTAAACAAGACTCTCCATCCTTCTCTGCTTAACAAACAATGATGATGATGATGATGATGATGATGATGATGATGATGATCATGATGATGATGTTGATGATGATGATGATGATGATGATGATGATGATGATGATGATGACCGACCAAACAGTTCTCCTTTTTCTTGTTTCGTTTTTCTAGAAAACATAATAATTTGCACCATGTCAATACATTTTACGTAACCAACAAATTGGGCAGCAAAATCTGGACACGGGACTTAAAAAAAAAACCCACGAAAAAACTATCGCAGCTAACTGTAATTAAATAATAGCCATATATTGATTGCGATGGAATCGAACGATTCTTGGCAATACATCGTTTTTCTACATCTTTTTTAAAGCTTCGACTGTTTGAAGACGTAATTACAAAATTACAGTTGAATGTTAAGGATGAGGCATTGCTTTTCTAATGTTATTTCTAGAGCAATAATGACAGCACATAACCATCTCTTTCAAATACTGATCTGACAAAGCTAGTTTTTTTTGGTGTCGTGTAGCTTATCTGCCACCTTTTATGTCCCTTCTGCTCAACAAAATTACCTACCCGAGACTAATTGTTTCTGAAATCAGAAATCTGAACAAAGACTTTCGCATTTTCCAAAACTCAGAGATCCATTGTCGAAAGAAATTGCTTCCTAATCTCTCAAACGAAACTTTCTCGTCATATTCCTGATAGCCATAGGAATGAATATACTCGGACTCTGGGGCTCAAATGACCTTATGCAGTTGTGAGCGCCGTAAAACCCTCTACTATTAAAAAAACATTACTCTGACTCCATTTGACTTTCTTCTGTATATCTGCTTGCAGGTATTTACGCTTTCTATACTCTTTCTGTTTTTTGTTTTTTTGCGATTTGTTTTGCTTGTCTCTCTTTTTCCTACTCTCTATATGTGTAACGACACGGTGGAATCAGGCGCTCGTCTTTTTTCTGGCTTATGGAGTTATTGGTATCATCTTAAAGCCTGTCCATTTGCCTTTCTTTGGGTGAAAATACATCCATCCATCTTGGATAAATGTTGAAATATTGGCGATTGAAGGAGGTAGAGGCGGTTTGGTTTCAGAGGTAAAATTGGCGAGAAAATGGCCGCCAAAGTTGAGTTATTTCCTTAGCTTGACAGTCCGTGGAAACGACAATTTTTCATTTTTAAGACTTTAATAAACGTTTTTCCAGTAAAATCGACACAGCAATGTGTTCTTGAATAGACATGAAAGGTGTTCAAAGACCGAAAAAAAAAATCGATTAAAATTCCTAAACCTGCTGAAAAATGCCAGTTTCTTCACTTTCATTATTTTGACGAGCGCCTGATTTCACCATGCTGCCTCACATATGTCTCCCTCTCCCTTTGTCTATTAGTTTATCTTACAGCCCGCCTTGTATCTCCCACTCTTCTCACTCCTGCACCTCTCTCTCCCTCCTCGCCCCCCCCCCTCTCTCTCTCTCTGAAAAAGTTTGTTTTCTTTTAGCTGCTTGATCCCCCCCCCCACAACCCCCCCCTCCCCCCAAACAAAATAAAAATCAAAATCAAAATCAAATATACGGGTTTAGGTATTTTCTTCTCCCTTAAAAGCAATGCAACACTCCCCCTCCCCCACCCGCCCGCATTGTCATGTTAACTATGCCGTGATCTGATAAAACGCATTTATCTCAAAATCAAAGTTTCGAGATAAGCATGATTTAGTGGGTTTTTCTTTGTGCAAATAAAACAAACAAATAGCATTTATGTTTTTGTTTGACTATCCCACATGAAGATATATCTCACTTACCATGACTAAACCAAATTTAATCGAATTTGAGCTAAAAACAAACAAATACGAAGAATGCGTTTTATCAGATCACACATGTAGAAATGCGTTTTATTTTCAAAGCATTAATCCCAGAATGATCTGATAAAACACTTTTATTTTCTGCGTCTCGTTAACCATTCTTGAACCTACGGACCGAAAGGCGAAGTTTTTACCTGCCAAATTGTGCCTGTCTCTCAACAGAGCTCCCTTCTCAGAGCCACCTGGTCCCCTCAGCAAGCCCAGCGACCGCCGACCACCACAAGGACAAGACTCAGCAGACTTGTTTGATAGGAAAGGTCAGTTTAGTGGAAAATAATTGGTTGCTTTTAAGGACAAGCGGGCTAACCCAGATTTCGAGGGTTTCTAGACCAAAAGTGGGCATTGCTCTACGTATAGGAGAAGTTTGGTTTCATTGGTGGGTATATTTTTTTGGTTATAGAGAAAACCCTCCTTTTCTTTTAAAGAAACTGAGCAAGGGGCAAAAACTTTACCTTCGATTTTCTCAAAACAGCATTTTTCGGGATAGCCCCCTTGTGCTTAAAAGCGACCAGTTGCAGAAGTACATAATTTCACATTTAGAATATTGCTTGGCTTTCGTAAAAGGACCATATAAAGCCATTTGCGCCTTAAAATAGTTTTTTTTCAGAATAAGCGTATACACCTCTGTGCAGACACACACTCACACACACGCGCGTACACACACACACACACACACACACACACACACACACACACACACACACACACACACTCCCACCCACCAAAGGGTTTAATTCACAAAAATCTGCACACCGCTGCACTATTTCTCTCTCTCTCCTTCTCTCCGACCCGGGCGACGACAGTTCATCATCCGTGACCTCTGACTCCCGTAATCTCTTCCCAAATTCCAACACAGCCCAACACAACGTGACGACAGCGCCGAATTAGTCGGTACAACATTCCGCAAATCATCAACCACACACACATACACTCACACATACACACACACACACACACACACACACACACACACACATATATATATACACACACACACAGAGAAAAAAACCCACACCCACACATACACTCACACATACATACACACACACACACATACATACACA